TTCTCTAGACTCACAAAGAGAGTATGGCTCAATAAGAAGCTGACAGCATATACCAAGATGCAGGTCTATAGAACCTGTGTTTTGAGTACACTCCTGTACTGCAGTGAGTCATGGACCCTTTGTGCATGGCAGGAGAGGAAGCTGAACACGTTCCATATGCGTTGTCTCTGACACATTTTTGGTATCACCTGGCAGGATAAAGTTCCAATAGAGTAGTCCTAGAATGAGCTGGAATTTTTAGCATGTATACATGACTGAAACAGCGACATCTACGTTGGCTCGGGCATGTCGTGAGAATGGCTGATGGTCAGATTCCAAAAGATCTCCTGTATGGAGAATTAGTGCAGGGATAGTGCCCCAGAGGGAGACCACAGCTGTGATACAAGGATATCTGCAAGTGGGATCTGAAGGTCTTAGGAATGGACCTCAACAGATGGAAAACTTTGACATCTGAGTGTTCAGCCTGGAGGCATCATGGCCTCTCCCAATTTGAAGAGACCCCTGTCCAGCAGGCTGAGGCAAAGAGGCAGTCCCGAAACCAGCAAAATCAGGGAGCTGGACAGGGGACAGATTATATTTGTTTTCAGTGTGGAAGGGATTGTCACTCTCGAATTGGCCTCCTCAGCCACACTAGACACTGTACCAAGATCTCTATTCAGAGCACGTTACTATAGTCTCTCAAGACTGAAGGATGCCTATAGGGAATACATTCCTTCCACTTTTCTTTAACTATGAAGTTATTTTCTCTCATCTAGGAACTGTTGTTGTTAGCCTGGTTCATTCTGTGATGTTCCAGTCTTTAGAAAATACAACAGCCACCTAGTGCTGGAGCTATGCAAAGGCTATGAAAAGCAACATCAGAGGAGGAAAAATGAAGATATGGAGACAGAGCAGAAAAAGGTATGAGAAAGAAGCAAGGGAAGTAGATCCCTTCATTCAATGAGCTAGTTGAGACCAATAACTAGATTTATATCTGGGCTTGGAAACTCATGCAGTTCCTAGAAATCTAAGCCAGCATCACTAATGATGCATGAAAGAAAGATGTGTAGTTCAAAATCACACATTGTCCATCTCTGGTAGGTAGGTTTATTTCATAGTAAATCACTGGAGATCAATGGAATTTACTTCTAAGAAGACATGCATATGATTGTGCTGCTTGGGTAGCAAAAGCTGCACCAAAATTTAACGCAGGTAATCCTGTAGTTTCTCATTGTGAATGTGTCTAAATAACAACAACAATGTGGTTTCAAGTCAATTCTGACTTATGGTGACCCTTTTCAAGGTTTCCAGGTCAAGAACATACAGAAGTGGCTTACCATTCCTTTCTTCTAGGGCAGTGTTTCACAACCTGGGGGCTGCGGCTCCCAAAGACATCACAGAATATTTTCCAGACAGTCCTGGTTCACGTTATGTGCACTATAACCCCTGCTAAATAATTTCTTCCAAAACCTTTCACAGCTGAATATTAAAGTTAGCACGTATGTATGTGAAACAATCCTTTTGGAGGAGAAAGAAGCCTCTACTTTCTGAGAAGGATAACTTTATTCCAGTAAAAAAATGCCTTTTTATGCAAACATGGTGGCAGGGATGTCACAGATTACTTGGCTATTATAGAAGGGGGGTTGCAGCTCGAAAAAGCTTGGGAAGCACTGTTCTAGGGGCACCCTGGGGACGGTGTGGCTTGCCCAAGGCCACCCAGACTGGCTCTACTTTTAGGTAGCACAGTGAGGAATGGAATTCCCAACCTCTGGCTCCACAGCCAGAAACCTAAGCCAACCAGCTATTTTTTTAAAAATGGCTCTCAAAATTCTCTACCTTATGCATGGAAAAATTAGGAAGGTGGCAATTTCACTGAATTTCTTCAGAGAGAAGAGACATTTTCCAGCAGTGTCTCATTAACAGGGGTGGGAGGATAGCTTCTTTCTTTCTATTTCATGTTTATTTTTATGTACACAAAAGTTGGTGCAGCAAGACAAATTCATTTGCCTACATCTTCCTTTTTTGGCCAGCTCCACCTTCAAAGACTTGGGCTTCTGTGGCCTGGGTTCCCCCCCCCCCGGATAAACTGGTGCTTAATCCAACTTGGCAAAGCCGATGTCCTTGGTGTACTGCCAGAAGCACTGGTGGCACATGTTGAGTTTGTACTTGCGGTTGGCACACACGTGGCAGGAGCAGGAGCCCTGCCTAGACTCCCTGGGGTCACTCCAGTAGAGCTGCTGGTGGCCCATCGCAAAAGGCCCTCCATCACTCACCTCACTGTTTTGCTGTGCAGACTGTGTGTTGACTACCATTTTGCATTGTCTATAACATCCCAGGCCTGGTGTCATTCTGAACCATTAGTGGGAGAAGAGAGATGGCAGCCACACACACAAAAAAAATGGTGGTGAACATGGGGGGAGGGGAGCTTGACAAAAGGGTCTCCTTTTGAGTAGTGGAGTATGAAAAGGAGGGGGGAAATCAGGATCCCCAACCCTGAAAAAATGCGTTCTGAGAAATTTCAGCCCAGCCTTAAGAATAGAAGTGCACCATTCTTTTACAAGTGCTTTACCTTGTCATTTCATTGGCCTTTGCGCTTTTCATGTAAATGCTGGGCTTTTATGAACTGGAAGTAGGAGGTTTATTATGCTAGCCCTGTGTCTAATGACATTTGGATAATTGGCCAGCAGAGCCTCCAATACCAGAGCCTCCACGATTTTGTACCCCTCTGCTCTTTCTACACTTCCTGGAGTAAGTTTAGCATTAATCTTGCTCCAACCCTGTTCTAGTCAACTGCCCTTTTCAAGCTGCAGCCATTAGCCTTAATGCTAAAAGCGAGACATCCTGAAAGATGCTTAGTGTAGGATGTTAACTAGATACACAGTCTTAAACCCCTTCTGCCCCTCTCCTTGGCTCCTTGTCTTTACAGCAGCACTCCTTCTGTCTAAATTAGTGGACTTAGGTCCAGGGAAGGCCAAAGAACATTTAGTAATTTTTATCCAAGTGTATTGCTCATCCTCCTCTAAGGGCTCATGGCAAGTAATTGAGTTTTTAATTAAAGATGACAGATCTCTGTCCCTCAAGGCTTCTCACACTAGGAACAGAGCTAACTCATACAACTGTTTGGGGCTGCCAGGAAATCCAGACTCCACATGGCGAAGCAAGATGCCGAGTTCTTTATCATCAGTCACAAGTCTGTGTCACATTATTTGAGTGTCATTCAGATTAAGACACCTTGTGCTCATATTGTCACAGGTGTCTTGCATGTTTTTGATGAGAAAAATGCCATCCTAAATGGCAGGCCTTGTACTGTTCCAGAAAAGAACAGGACGGCTTGCAGAAGGGGCAGGATGATTCATTCTCCCTGGGAACACATATGGACACTGGAAATTAGTGCGAACCAAAGGGCTTCAAAAGTCAACCAAATACAAAGTGAGCTACATACTCATCTGATCACTTTCTTAGTCACTTTTGCTTCTAGGGAGAGCAGCAGTTTGATTTTACCTCAAACCCACTTGTTTGTCTTTTCCACAGTCCATGGTATCTGCAAAGCCATCCTCCAACACCACATTTCAAGTGTATCATTTTTCCCTGCACAGCTTTCTTCACTGCCCAGCCTTCATATTGGCACATAGTAAGGCATGCCACACTGGAGATGTGAAGAATGCTCAAGTAAAATTCCTCATTCTCTTTGATCCAGGCTGTCTTGATGTGATGTGATGCCTAGATGAGAAATTTCCAGGCCCTGCAAAATTCCCCCACCTCCAGCATAAGAACAAGACAAGGGCCATGCTCTCGTTTTCTCCTCTTTGGTCGCCAATTTCCACAAACTGTGTGTGTGTGGAAAGACTACAGTCTTTTTCCTCTGAGGAGCAAGGACAAACACACAGAGAGCATACACAAAAGGAGTGGGCTTTTTAAAAAAAAGATGCAAGCAGCCCATTCAAAAACCAAACCCACAAGCAAAACCATAGTTGTTCTTGTTTCTCTTTCCGTTCATAAAAGTCCATGGCACAAAGGGAAAAAGCCAGCTGTACAGTATCAGGGTACTCTCAGAAGAAGGGCATGGTAAATCACTTCTGAGTATTCTCTACCTACCTAGAAAGCCCTGGAAAGTTACCATAAGTCAGAACCAACTTGATGCATACAGTTATATTATTATTACACTCCTGCAAAGACTGGCAAGTGGGTGTGTTTGTGTGTGTGTATCTTGATATGTTGCCATAATTAAAGTATGTGTCATTTCGAAGCAGTATAAGGTACTATCTGATTTGCAAAGCATGGAGATACCATTGTTTTGTGGTTAGAAACTTCCAGAACTGCTCAGTCTGCAGTGACGATGCAGAAATGGGGATGCTGAAAGTTGAATTTTAAAAACAGTAACTTATCCAGGCTCCAGAATTGATTTGATGTTAGTAACTTATCCAAGCTCTGGCATCTGAGTGCAAAATACGAAGCTGTTTTGTTGCCAAAGTGCCTAACAACAGTCCTGCTGGTCTACAATCTTAAAAGGGAAAAGAAAAGACAAATCATACTGATTAATCGTCTCCACTTTCTTTTTCCTTAAGGCTGAATCAGGTCATTAACACCTCATCTTGGCACCCCAAATTTAGTGCTGAAGCCATATGGCTCAGTGCAAAGTGTCTTGCATCCAAATTCCTCTGCTCAGCCAAAGTCTGCATTAATTTCTTCCTTAATTATCTAATGTAAGGCTCTTCCATAAATGAACATTCATTACAAATCAGAGAAACTTCTTTTTCATCCTTCAGGCAATCTGGACCTTTGAGTTTTTAAATCTTATACTCTTGCTTGTAACTTTAATGTTCTCCAAATTAAAGATAAAGGTTCCCCTTGACAATTAAGTCCAGTTGTGTTCGACTCTAGGGGCCGGTGTTCAGCCCCGTTTGGAAGCCGAAGAGCTGGTGTTTATCCATAGATACTTTCCGTGGTCATGTGGCCAGCATGACTAGACACAGAATGCCATTACCTTCCCACTGAGGTGGTACCTGTTCATCTACTCAGATTTGTATATTTTCAAATTGCTAAGTTGGCAGGAGCTCAGATAAGCAACAGGAGATCACTCCATTGCATGGTTTCAAACTGCCAACCTTTTGATCGATAGCTTTGCAATTTAACCCACAGCACCACCCACGTCCCTCAAAATTACACAACCCCAAACTGGCATTTCTGAACTTAGCACTTATGTATCTTAGACAGTGAGAATGCTAAACCACTCCCCATTCACAGTCTCTTTGGTTGTCCCTTGGGTAGGGTTGCCAGATACATCGGTATGAAAAGGAGGACATAGGAAGCCAAAAAGGAGGACAAAGGAGGACGTATTGGGGGGGCGGGCTCTGTGCATGTCACTTTTGGAATTAGATATTGGGGAGAATACTGTAGCTCTTTGATCATGGGGCAATACAATTTCCCAGTCTTTCAAGACTGGGAAAGTTACATTTTCTGGACTACAAAACTCAGAATCTACTGGCCACTGTGTTTTCTTGTTTTAAAAAGTGTTAAAAAAAAAAAACAGAAGTCTACATATACACTTATGGGGCTCCCAGGACCAATTTAGACAATCTATTTCTTCCTTTAATGGAGACCCATCCCCCTTGTTTTATTTACTGATTTTTTAATTTTTATACCACCCATCTGGCTGCCAAGGCCACTCTGGGCAGTTTATAAAAAGAGAATTAAACAATAACATAAAAAACAAAATAATCAGTAACAATCAAACAAAATATAAGAGCTACTAAAACAAAGTACACTAAGAAATCACATTAATAAAAGCATAATAAAGTGAAATAAAAAGTTTAAAAAGTTGTGTGACAGATTTGAAACACTTTATAAAAACCAGGAAAAAAACACACCAGAAGGCATGGATTTCTCTCTGCTTGAGAAATGCAAAGAGTGGAGAAAATGGATTTGCAGACACACACAGGCACACACAAAGCCATTTTCTCCACCCTTTGCAATTTCTCAAGCTGAGTGAAATCCGCTTGTGTGTGTGTGTATGTTCCAGCTCCCATAAGCATAGGGGATAACTCTGCATATGCTTCTGGACCTGGAAACACACTCTGTACATGCCCCAGGGTTGGGGGGGTCAGGGCAGAAGGGGGGATAAAAGTGCCTCCTGTCCCCAGAGTCAGGGGTGCATAGGGCCGGGACAGAAGGGGGGGATAAAAGTGCCTCCTCTTCCCCAGCTTTAGGAGGAAGGAGGGACTGGACTGGCCCCTATTTCCCTGGCTCTGAGCAGCTCCTGCCCCAAACCTCAGCACACTCACTCCACACCTCTCATGTCCATTTCCATCCGTCCCTCTCTTGTACCTTCCTTCTTGCCTTATTCAGCTCAAGCGGAAGGAATAAACAAGCTTGATGAAGCCCTGGATTGAGTGCCCAGGGCTGTAGCAGCCTAAACAATCAAGCCGGCTTATCTCCGATCTCTAAAAGAACCAAGTGCCCTTCCGCAACCAAGGAAGTAACAGGGAGAGGTGGCTTGTTCGGCTGCAGGGGGTGGGGGAGGGGGTGGGGTGGAGATACAAAAGCCGGGCATTTTAAAGTTTTTTTTAGTTTTGCCTGCCAGACGGAGGACATTATCCTGAAAAGGAGGACATGTCCTCCTTTTGCCGGACGTCTGGCAACCCTACCCTTGGGTGTTTTGCCCAGTTTGTCATGTCAGACATCCACTGTGAAGAACTCAGCTCACAACATCAAAATAATCTAGAGCACTGGTTCTTAACCTTGGGTTACTCAGGAGTTTTGGACTGCCACTCCCAGAAGCCTTCACCACCAGCTGTGCTGACTAGGGTTTCTGGGAGTTGCAGTTCAAAAGCATCCGAGTAACAAAGGTTAAGAACCACTGATCTAGAGCTTCAGCAACAGTAGGCCCTAATGAGCAGGAAAATTTACACTGAATGGGAGGAAGCTGTTCCTTAAGTAAATAACATACATGAAAGTGTTAATCAACATGACTGTTTGTCTCACAGTTGGTTTTGTTGATATGATTCTTGCCAGAACACTTCCTGGAATGCATCAGACTTCAACTATCTGCCATTTCTACTGAATGCTTCTTTATGTTTTGGGAAACATTTATATCTGGATTTCTGCTTTTATCTTCCTGTAAAGCAAGTAATGGATGAAAATGTGACTTAAATGCTAAATCATGCCCTATTATTTTCTCATCCAACATAAAAGCTTCTCTCCTCAAAGACATTCCTCTTTTAGACCACTTGATGAATCTTCAGAAGTCCAT